GTGACAATTCATTCGCAGTGGTAAAACCCTTAAGTGATGCTGTCCCCTGACTGCTCACCTGTGCTCCCCTCCATGCCAAAAGCAAGCTGTGCCCCCCAGCAGCAGCCCCTCCTTGGGACAGGGCTCCCTAGGGTCCCACCTTGAGGCAGGGCAGCTTCCCAGTCTGCTCTGCAGTGGTCCTTCTGCCCCATGGGGAGCTTCTGGCGGGGGGGGGGGGGGAAAAAAGACACAGCAGCTGTGGTCCCAGCTGTCCTCCTCCTGTCATTCAAAGAGCATGGTCAGAATGACCTGAATGTGCAGATGCTTCCCGTAGAGGTGGGCTGGCCAGGCTTTGTTCCACAGGCTGTGGCAGTCCCTGAGTGTCCCCGAGGGAAGGTGAGACTGGAAGGTGGAATATTCATGGAGGGATATCCCATGCCCAGGGCTTGCCACACAGGAAAAGCTGCGGCAAGGGCAGGGCTGAGGTAGGAAGGTGGAGCACCAGCATCTCCATCCTCACCACACCCATGTGGCTGGTGACAACCTCCCCCAGGATGTCCACATGGACAAACTGCCATGGCCACTCAGGTGGCTCTGCCCAATACATGCAGAGACCTCCAGGCTCTTCATTGTGTGGGGCCTGCTGGAGAAGAGCCAACTGTGTGAACCATGGTCTCTAACCAAACAGCAGCATTTTGATTCAAATTATTCCCTGTTCTATTTGTAGTCAACGCTCTAATGGTGTGTCCCTCAGAGCCATTCACCCTCATTATCTTTTCATTTTCTAGCTCTAGTACAAGGCAGGTGGAGTAATGGGGAAAGGGCCGGGCACCACGGCATCTCAAGGGTTGTGGTCAGTGGGGTCACACTTCAGCATGACTTTGACCCCCTCACCCCTCTTGGTGGTCTCAAAAGCCTCAAGAGCCTTTTCCAGGGGGAAGCGGTGCGTAACCAAGGGCTTGACGTTGATCCGCTTGGATGCAAGCAGAGCAATTGCCACAGGCCACCTGCAAGGGAAATGGAGAGCAGGAGATCACAGAATGGTGGGGTTGGGAGGGACCTCTGGAGATCATCTCATCCAACCCCCCTGCTCCAGCAGGGTCACCCACAGCAGGGTGCCCGGGATCACATCCAGGTGGGTTTGGATTCTCTCCAGAGAAGGTGACTTCACAACCTTTCTGGGCAGCCTGCTCCAGGCTCTGGCACCCTCACAGCAAAGAATTTTCTCCTCCTGGCCAGGCGGAACCTCCTGTGTTCCAGTTTGTGCCCATTGCCCCTTGTCCTGTTGCTGGGCACCACTGAGAAGAGTCTGGCCCCAGCCTCTTGCCCCAGTAGGCCCTTTAGCTCCAGGGCTATCTTCACGTCTAGCAAAATGATGAAAATGAAACAAGGCTCTTGCTCAATCCAACATTCACTGTTCTCCAGCAAGACTGATGATGTTATTTCCTTCCATGATGAGCAAGGAGAGAAGAGCTGGGCACAGGTTGCCTTAGAATCATAGACTGGTTTGGATGGGAAGGGACTTTTCAAGGTCATCTAGTCCACCTCCCCTGCACTGAACAGGGACATCTGCAACTAGAGCAGGTTGCTCAGAGCCCCGGCCAACCTCACCTGGAATGGTTCCAGGGATGGGGCAGTGACCACATCTTTGGGCAATATGAGCCAGGGTCTCAGCACCCTCAGCATCAAAAATCTCTTCCTCAGACCTAGTCTAAATCTCCCTATTTGAGTTTCAAAACCTCCCCCTTTGTCCTGTTGCAACAGGCCCTGCTCAAAAGTCTGTCCCCAGCTTCCTGACAGGCCCCTTGAAGTCCTGAAAGGGCACCAGAAGGTCTCTGCAGAGGCTTCTCTTCTCCAGGCTGAACAACCCCAACTCTCTCAGCCTGGCCTCCCAGCAGAGGGATTCCAGGATAGGATGTAGCACTTGGATTTAAAATGTTTTTTACATTCCATTTTGGCCTGCTGGCTTGCAGCAGAGTTAAGGGTTTAGTGAGTTTTTTCCTTTGCACCAAATGCTGCATGAAATGGGACAGTGGGACAACCTAGATGGGCTGCTTTGTTGTGGTCACCCAGGAACCAAGGCGCACAACACAGGACATGTCAGTCAGTCTCCACTGCAGCACTGACCTTTCAGAGTGAGGCTGAACCAGCTGTAAGGGAAACCAGCCTCTCCCACATCCTCTCTCTTTGTAGAAAGCAGGAGTTTCTTAGAAACAGACTTGGAGACACATCAGCCCACCCTGAACGAGACTCACGTGTTGCAGTAGCGGAAGATCCCTCTGATATCCACTTCCCGCACAGCAGCATTCACGATGGGCACAGTGACCATCTCAGCTCCCAGTCCCACCAGCACCAAGGTCCCACCAGAACGAGTGGCCTGAAGAACAAACACATAAATCACATTTTGCCAAACACAGTCACCAGAGCCTGTGAAAAAAAATAAAGCCACATGTTGTGGCTCTAACAGACTGCCCAGGGCATGATGGAGAAGCCAAGGGAGAAGAAGGACACCATCAGGAGTCCCTAAGTGTGAAACATGCAATAAACATGGCTTGAAATTCAATCTTTGGAAAAATCTCTGAAGGATTTTGGTATCTCAATCTCATTCTGAAAAATGACTGGCCTTAAGAGTACAAAAAGGAGTTTTGGATTTCAATGGGAGAGATTTAAAACTAAGAGCTTGTTGCTCCACTGGAATTTCTCTTTGTGCAGCTTGTCCCATTCGTCTCTGGTTCTTTCTTTGTGAAACTGCACCACCTTCTCCACTTCCTCCTGTTCGGCAGCTCATGACAGCAGAACATCCCCTCCTTAACTGCTCTCTTCACCTGCTGGGCTTAATTTTCTTCACTATTCTCCTATTTGAACATAAATTTAGATTAACCTGGGAGTCCTGATGGACAAGTTTACTATGAGTCAGCAATGTGTTCTCATGGCCAAGAAGGCAAATGGTCTCCTGGGGTGCATTAAGAAAAGTGTGGGCAACAGGTCAGGAAGGTTCTCCTCCCCCTCTACTCTGCCCCAGGGAGGCCACATCTAGAGTACTGGGTCCAGTTTTGGGCTCCTCAGTTCAAGAGAGACAAGGAACTACGGGAGACAGTCCAGCAGAGGCTACAAAGATGCCGAGGGGCCTGGAGCATCTTTGGGACAAGGAAAGGCTGAGAGTCCTGGGGCTATTGAGCAAGGTCAAAAGAAGACTTCAGACGGGATCTGATCAATGCTGATCAAGAGCTAAAGGGCCCATAAGGTCCAGAGGATGGGGCCAGACTCTTGCCAGTGGTGCCCGGCAACAGGACAAGGAGCAACAGCCACAAACTAGAACCCAGGAGGTTCCATCTCTCTTAGCTTGTTATTGAACAGGCACCTTCTCTCCCCTACATCAAGCCCACTGAAATGGAGCATTATGGTAGCAAAATAACCATGATTCACTGCAGTGTCCTAGAAAAAAGCAAACCCAATGCCCTCACTGCTCTTGGGGACACTTTGGGGACAAGTGGTACTCACATAAATGCCAGCCTGGATGCAGGCCTGCACTCCTGTACACTCGACAGTTATCTCGGGCATGCAGCCAAGGAGGCTCTCCACTTTGGAGGCCACCTCCTGTGGGGTCTCGTTCTTCACCTGAATGGTGAAATCTGCTCCCACCTCCTTGGCTTTTTGCAGGCGAGCAGCAGATAAATCTGAGGAAAGACAAAACAAGTCAAGAACTGTGAAGCAGGAGAAAGAACCTGAGCCTGCCATCTGCTGACACCTCAACAGAACCACCTTTTCTGGTAACCAGCTGTCAGCTCTCTCAGAAGAGGAGACAGCATTTCTTATGTGGTAGGACAAGGTGGGAAGCCGCTAGCACCTTCTCAAGAACATATGTAGACCGCTCAGACCAAAGGGCTTCCCACCCTAACAAAGCAACAAAGCTGGTGATGATAAATGTCTGTGAGGTCATGGCTGTACTCTAGTATCCTGGCCAAAGGGATCTTGAGAACACTGTGTCTTTTGAAGATACATAAAATGGTTTGTAGCATGGAGTGAGCTGCCCTGGTGGGTGGCTACATGGTTTGTCTTTTCTCTTCCACATCCTCTAGAAGAAAACCACTCATCCATCTCCAGGCACCACTGGTGACCAAGACATCTCTGGAGATAGGGAGGTGGACAGGGGAGAAGAGCGGCATCTCCCTGGCAGAAACAACCTCTTTGCCTTGCACTGAAGTGGTGGTGGTCTACAGGGATCTGTGTGTTGGCACCAGAAAAGACATCTGGATTAAAGGTGGAAACTGAGCTGTAACAGCCACCATTTCCTTGATCCAAATTGAGGGGTGAGCAGTCTCCTGCCTGAGGTCCTAGACTTGAAGACTCAAAAAATGATGCCTTTGCCAAGGGCACGCTCCTCTCCAGGATTCACAGCGCACTCATCCACCACAGAGAGGAAAATACCTTCTCAACAGGACACAGTCTTCAGAGAAGGCAGAGATGGAAAATCATAGTTATACAATGGTTTGGGTTGGCAGGGACCTTAAAGATCATCTAGTTCCAACCCTACTGCCACAGGTAGGGACATCTCCTGCTAGACCAGGTTGGTCAAAGCCCCATCCAACCTGGTCTTGAACACTCCCTGTGATGAAGCATCCACAACTTCCCTGGGCAAACTGTGCCAGTGTCTCACCACCCTCACTGTGAAGAACTGGCACACCTGCTGAGATGAACACCCAGGCGACCTGTGGAAGGAGTTTCAAGAAGGATAACTGAGGGTAATAAAATGATGAGGAAGGAAGAAAGCCAAGTCTGAGAAGTGAGGGCTGCATCACCCTGGAAGCCTCAACGTGGGGTCTCATTCCTGAGCCTAGAGGCATTAGTCACATCTGTGCCACCCAAGTGCTGAGCCGTTGGACCTCAAGCCACATGTCTGGTCATGTTTGACCCTCTGCTAGCTGAGCTGCACTCAGAGACCTCCCATGCAGCAAGACCATGGGCATGGGCACTTCTGAGATGCCTGAAGTGCTAAGAAACACTTCTGCCTGCCCTGGCTGGTGTCCTCCAAATATCAGTGTATGGCAAGGAGGCTACGGAGGCTCAACAGTGCTCCCATCAACAGACCAAACTCCCCATGGAGTTTGATCCCAAATCACCAGCTTGAAGCAGGCACAGCTGAATTCAGCCATTTGTAGTATCTACAAATACTACATTTTCCACATCCAGAAGCAGTGTCCTGGAGAAAGCAGACCTTCCAACCAGTGCACTTCAAAGAGGGTTAGCTTGTGGTTTGCTGACCTGGTCAGGAAGGAAGCCCTCACATCAGAGAGGCACATGGCATGAAGGAGCAATGCCATCAGACCTGGTCAGGGCTGCAGTGATGCCTTGGTGCATCCGGCCTAAGTGAATCACCACTAAGAACTTACTGAAGCTGACAGATCTGCAGGTTATCAAGTGAGACGGTTACCGTGGTGTTTGGAGCTCCAGATACTTGTGAGCCTTGAGGAGGACCAAGTTGTTCGGATTTTAAACCTTACTGTGGCTGAACTCCACACAATTCTTGGGAAACTGGTTAATTATACAATTAAAGGGTTGCATCTTGCCTCTAGTCAGAAATTTGTTTCCACTTCCTGGCTGCTGGAGCTAATTAAGGTTTTAGCTCCAGCTAAAACAGATTATTATATTATTAGCAGATTAAGAGCAGCCTGTTCTTGCATCTCTGCTCCCACGGAAGTTATCAAGTTACACTTAAGCTCCTCATGATGGTTTATGAGCCAACTTAACAGGAAAATATTCTCGAAGCTGTCACACTTTCTATGTTGATCTTCCTTCACAAAGGAGTTGAACTCTGTTCAGTTATTCACCTTCCCTGACCTTGACTTTCCAGGGTATCTGGGGGCACCAGCACCCAGGACTCCAGATTTAGACAGCACAAAGGGAATCGTTTCTCTTAAGTCAGAATTATTAAGTGTACCTTTAGTGACAGAGTAAGACAAGACAGCCCAACACCACCATATGGACACTCAAACTGTCATTCCACTTGTTTGGCAAGAAGGCTGCTCTTCTACATGACTCCAAGGAGAAAAGCAGCTTTTGGAAGGGCCAGGCTTCTGCTCTCCAGGAGACACAGAGAAGAGACCCAACCCCTCAGCAGAGACGTTAACTCTCCAAAACTCTTTGACTTCAGGTGTGCCAAAGACACTCGCTGCAGAAGCTTCAGGAGATGAGTTCTCCCCAGGTCAGCAAAAAGCCCTTCTAGATAATTGTATATTAGTGTGTGGCTTGCCAAAACAAACGCAAACATTTAAAGCCTTTAAGTGCTGTGTGGACAAAGCTCTTCAAAAACACATCATAAAAACTTCAGGCTACGAATTCAAAGAATCCAGCAGCAATGCACAAATGGGCCATTGTGGGCAGATAGTCAGCTCACAGGTGTTGGCTCCTAAAGCTGACGCAAAAAGCAGTTCCTTGAGAAGAGCTGCAAAATCCCCAGCAGCAGCAAGCCAAACTAAACCCATCCCTTAGCTCAGGTCACGAACAAATATTTGAGTAGGGACACCACCTCCATGGGTGTCTCGAAGCATCTCAGCCATACATCTCTTAGGGAGAAGACATCTACAAGTCAGGAAAATCCTGCTCAGAGCAAACCTCCAAGAATCGCTCCAAACAGGGTATAAAATGTGCTGTGTTGGCTGGTCTGCTAACCTAGCAGAGAAGCACCAGTTGCAACCTGTATCTTCTTAAAGATCCCAGTTAGATCAGTCTTGTCCTGGGGAATGAGCTGTTCATTAGCATTCCTTCCAGACAGGCACATGCTACTACTCCATTCATGAACACACTTTCCATTGTTCAACAAGTTCAACAAGGGCACATATAGGGTCCTGCCCCTGGGGAGGAATAACCCCCTGCACCAGTCCAGGTGAGGGTTTGACTTGCGGGGAAGCAGCTCTGACGAGTAGGACCTGGGAGTCCTGGTGGACAACAAGTTGCCCATGATCCAGCAACAGACCCTTGTGGCCAAGAAGGCCAACAGTCTCCTGGGATGCATTCAGAAGGGTGCGAGCAGCAGGTCAAGGGAGATTCTCCTCCCTCTCTACTCTGCCCTAGGGAGGCCTCTGGAGTATTTGGTCCAGTTCTGGGCTCCCCAGTTCCGCAGGACCAAGAAACTACCAGAAGCAGTCCAGCTCTGTGGGTTCCAAAGATGCTGAAGGGACAGGAACATCTCTGGGATGAAAAAGGCTGAGACCCCTAGGGCTGTTTAGCCTGCAGAAGAGAAGACTGAGAGAGGATATGATCAATGCTCATCAAGAGCTAAGGGACCCATGGGGGACAAGATGATGGGGCCAGACTCAGTGGTGCCCAATGACAGGACACGATGGGCACAAACTGGAACCCAGAAGGTTCCACCTCATCAGGAGGAAAAATGTCTTTGCTCTGAGGGTGCCTGAGCCTGGAGCAGGCTGCCTAGAGAGATTGTGGAGTCTCCTTCTCTGGAGAGATTCCAAACCCACCTGGATGTGATCCTGGGCACCCTGCTGTGGGTGACCCTGCTGGAGCAGCAGGGTTGGACGAGATGATCTCCAGAGGTCCCTTCCAACCCCACCACGCTGGGATTCTGTGATTGTGTTTGGGCTGCCTTCCCTCACAGTTACCTTGAAGGAGTAACTTGCATCTAGTCCAAGTGTTGTATCGTGGGAAACAGGCCCACTCTAAGGGTTAAAGGACTCACCAGTAACTACCACTGCCGCCGCACCCATCATCTTAGCGACCAGCACATTAACGAGCCCGATTGGTCCTGGGTACAAAGGAGAGAAAGAGAACATAGACAACTGCCAGACAGCACCTGCTGCAAGCTCTGAAGGTGCCCAGAGCTCAGTGTGTCCCTAGGCACTCCCCCTCCATGCCATGGCAGGCAGAGAACCCAAGGACTGAGGATGTTCAACTGTACCAGAGCCAGACACGAAGACTTTGCTTCCCAGAGTGACTCCTGCTCTTCTGCAGGCATGGATTCCCACTGAAAGTGGCTCAATAAGGGCTCCTTCTTCAAAGGTGACATTATCTGGAAGCCTGCAAGAACCAGACACAAGCAACAGTAACCAAAGAGGCTCATGAGGGTGATGAAGAAAACCATGACACTCAAAGACCAAACACAAGTCTAAATAACAGTGGCCAAACACATTTTCACCCTTGGTCTGTGAAGTGCAGGGCTGGAACATGTTTCAGGAGGTTATATTGCTCTTTTCCTCCTCTGAAGCAGCATCAAGTGCACCTAAACCATCTACCAGTGAGGTTTCCCCAAGCACGAAACCACAAACTTCCCCACATCATCTCCCCACTCCTTGGTGAGTCAACCCACAAACTCCTTTGCCACTTTTCCCTTTGGAACAAACCACACAACTTGGACGCACTACTCTGAAGGCTGTTCAATGGCTGGGACCCACCAGTGAGCTCCCAAACCCCTCAGTGGGGTTGAATCCCTGAGCTCCGGGCTTTTAAAAAACATCTTGCTGCCAATGGTGAAGTTATGTAAAGCACAAGTGGACGGATCCAGGGCTCCCCATCACACCCTGGATATCCTCCCGACACACCAAAGCCGTGGACTGGTCCCAGCATTCACCCTCCCAGCAGTCAGGGAAAATGTGTACACTAGGTGTCAAACACCTCCTGGACAGAAACAGCACCGTGATGCAGCTAGTGTACAAGCAGAGAAGGGTGAAACGCTTCTGAATTGCTGACAGAAGTAAATCTCAGCCTCACAAGGCAGCCCTCCAGAAAGCCACAAGTGTGGGCTCTCCCACAACAGGTACTGGGAGCTGTGGCTGTGAAGAAGGGCTCTTTGACAGCCCTGGGAAGCTCGAGGTCTGATCTCAGCCAGGCCAACACCAAGCCAAAGAAACAGAAACAACAGCTGTAAGGTATCACTATATCCTTTAGCTCCAGGAGGCATTGAAGGGCTGACTCCAAGAGTTCAGTTGTCTCAGAGTTTGGCATCACATTTGCTACTCCTGGGTCTGGGCACTTCCTCACCAGTGCAGAAGGAGGACAGGCCCACAGTGTGATCCCACTGCCACCAAATTACTCGGAGCACCCACCACAGAGTCTGTCCACCAGCAAGGACAGACAACATCTGTCCAAATACCCAAAGCCTGCTGAGCTCAGCCATGACCTTTTCTTAGCAAATCTGTGCTGGCAGAGAGACTTCATGCCAGGGCATCTGCTCTGCATCAGATGGATTGGTGATCTGAAAGCAGAAGCACCAAAGCCAGGCTGTGCATTTCAAAGCTTAAAAAAAATAAATAAAAATAGCCAACGTAATATTCACTGAAACAGGAGAAAAAAGCAAAACGCTGGAAGAAGACAGCTCCAAACCAGCCACTTCCTCCCAAACAAACCTGTGATGCTGTCAGAAAATGTTCTTTTAACAACACACAGGAGATCAGTGACAGCAGGTCTGGACAGTGAGAATTGAGTCCATCCAGACCAACATCTCATCCTGACAGCAGCTGCTTGGGATCCACTTTGAAAGAAGCTTCCTGCCTGAGGATTCTCATGAGGAGACCATTTAAGTGCCTCTTTCCAACTGATGTGAGCCTGAGCACTTCCTCTCCATTCACCAAAGATCAATCCCAAGGATATTCCTGCTCGTGGAAGTACCAGCTCCACACAGACTGAGAAAGAACAAGCCCCACAGGCAGACCAGTCTCAGGGGGTCGCTACTGTAGACTGGTATTAACTCCTTGTGTAAATGCACTCACGTTGGTATACCGTTGCAGAGGTTTATTTGGGTTTCTAGAAGATTTGCCAGAGTACTTAAGCCTTGAAGAAAATACGTCAGTCCTGCCACAATTCAGAACAAACTCAAGTTTGCTTCTGCTGTGAAGGCTGATGTGTAAAGCTGGCAGCTTTGTGAGGCCACTCAGCATCATAAAAAAAGCAGTTTAGCAGGAACACTGATTTCTGCTCCTGTTCTGTCTTTGTTTTAAAGCAGAGAGCGAGGTGCCTGCAGTCCATATGGTGCTTCCTGAAAAGCAGCAGTACAGTTCACTCAGTGCAAAGAATCAGACCAAGACCTCCAGACACCATCCTAAGAAAGCAAGGATATATCTAAAAAGGCAGCAGAAAAGAAACAAAGAGCACGGAGCAAGTGGGAAAAAGAAAACAATTAAAGGGTAAAACAGTGGTGACACCCAGGAGATGTGCAAGAAATGTTTGTTTGCTTGGCACCAGAGAGGATGAACAACACCTGCCCAACAAATCCTTTACAAAGTGTCTGCCATTCAAGCCTTAAACTTGTTATTGATGGAGCAAAAAGCAATAAAACCCGTTGTGTTCAAGTGAAGAGCACTCACTGCAACACCCAAAAGGGCCAAGAGGCAATTGCTTCAGCTAATTTCCGACCCCCCTCCCCCGCCCAGGGAGTATTTATTTCTCTATTCATTTCTCTGAAGAGGCAGCAGCCACTAACTTGTAGCAGTAGCTGGCACTGTGCTTGTAGTAGCGGCACAAGTTCCCGTCATCGGGAGGCGTTGCGCAGAAGAAAATAGTGGGAGACAGGTTGTAGCGGCCGGTTTTGCAGAACTCATCCATTTCTCTTGGGACTCCAGGCTCGATGGCCACTCGATCACCTGCCAGGGGGAAAGCAGACTCTGCTGGTCAGGAAGAAGGTAGGCACGTAGGTATGAGTAGCACCAAACCGCCACAGAAGTGTGAGGGACATCGGCAAACTGAGGAAGATCGCTCTGCGTGCACCAAGCAGTTCCTAACACGTCCTTCGTGGTCACCTCATCGCCAAGATCTTCACGGTTGCTTGGACGAGCTGATGTTTTGGAGGCAGTCACATACAAACCTCTCTCCAGCTGCCTCACACTCAGCCTGAGATGAAAAGGGAACCCTCACCCCAGACAACAAGACGGGGATCAGGTTTTTTCTTTTCAGAATCTGTAGCAATTGGAAGAAGAAATAATTAGGACAAAGCAGATGAGCTCTGCTGGCCACCACGCTGCCAGCTGGAAAGGACTGCCCCTTGGGAAGGAAGCTTATGGAAGCAGAGCCAGGAGTCAGGCAGGCCTGGTCGAGGAACAGAGGCATCTTGATGCTCTGCTTGAGTAACCCAGACTGCTGGAAAGCCACATGCTGCAGGACAAACAGTAATTATTTAATTGCAATCACAAGCAGGATGAACTAAAGAAAATAACTGTGTGACCTCAGTACAACCTGCAAGTACACAAGGGACACACGGCAGCCCGTTTTATTTGGTGGAGGAAGCCAAATTTCTCAGCAAAGCTCTCCACCAACAGGCTTTCAGTCAGGCCTGGTGACAAGCAGGAGGATGGATTGAAGCCGAGAGCCATCTGACCTTCTGCACCCCCTCTGACACAGCCAGCGAGGGATGTCTAGGGGTGGGAGGAGCAGCACAAGCACACACTTGAATGTTCTCCTACCCCCTCATCACGTTCATCTATGTGGCCTCCCAAGCCGCTGGTGGCTTCTTTGTATTTAGTGATCCCTGAAAACTTCTCCTACACCTTCCACCATGTAAACTTTTAGAATCCACGTCATCCTTTGCCAAGGAGGCCTGTAGGTCTGCTACATCTGGTGAATGCCAGAGCACCACCCTTCAGCAGTCATGGTCAGCCCATCACTTCAGATAGGAAGCTGGTTTTATTTCTTCTGTCATGGACACCACTTATGTTGATCTGCATTGCACGTCACCTGCATCTTGTTGCCCAGGCACCCATAAGGTCTCTTTATAACTTGCTAGCTCTCCCATGCCCCCTCCACCATACCCAAGTGGCTATCACCAGCAAACTTTGCAAAATTCATTGCTCAGCCATTTTCTAGGACATTTATGAGCACAGTGAACCGTAGAGGTCACACCACAGGGCCTGGCAGTGGGTCCAGTGACCTCCCTCCACTGCAGGAGGCCATTTGTTCCTTCAAAAACACACACAGCAAAGAAACATTAACAGCAGGTTGTTAGCAAGAGCAACATCAGTAGTTTCTGAAGCTTCTTCAAAAGGTACCTTGTACCAGCATACACTGCTCTGCATTAAAATAGTCAGACCAGCTCAAGATATCCCAGGATGAAGCACACCAAAGAAACACCATGAACTAGAGTGGCCAAGCTGGGTAACTAACAGCAACACATTGACACTCTTTGAAGGAGAAGGTCACACTGTGCAATTCACAGCCCAGAAATGTCAGATAAATTTACCTAACAAAAAAAGCACACTCTGTTATCAACACGTTCTCAGGAACTGATTAGCAGAAAAACAAATAAAAAGACACTTTTGATTTCAATTACCTGGTTTCAGATGAGTCACCCCTGATCCCACTTTGACGACAGTCCCGGAAGCTTCATGCCCCAACACCATGGGGTTCTTCACAACAAAATCTCCAATTCGACCGTTCTGCCAGTAGTGAACATCAGACCCACAGATCCCAACGGAATGCATCCGCAGGAGGACCTCTGCCAGGAAAGGAAGAAAGGTTCCTTGTAGAAAAACTTATCTTCTCGGGCACTGGGACAGTGACACTTGTGTTGTCCCTGGGCTCCACAACAGAGGCCAAGCCAGCATTGAAACATCTGAATTTACTAGTGTTAAATAAATGTACCAGAATTGCATGTACGCACGTCAGGATGGGCAGTGTACATGAGACACCTGCTGGAATACAAAACAAGGATTTACAAACCAGGAAAGCTTAAAATGTGGCAAGACCCCTGTCAGCACAAGCTAATACAATCCAAGAGGGGTGTGACTACTACTGGAGCAAAAACTCAGCAGTGGGGAGGCCATACCTCGAGTACTGGGTTCAGTTTTGGCCCCTCACTCCAAGAAGGACCTTGAGGGACTGAAGCATGGCCAGAGAAGGGCAACAAAGCTGCTGGGGAATGGTCTAGAGCCCAAGTGTGGTGAGGAGCAGCTGAGGGACCTGGGGGTGCTGAGCCTGGAGCAAAGGAGGCTCAGGGGAGAACTTCTGGCTCTGACAACTCCCTGACAGGAGGCTGGAGCCAGGTGGGGGTCGGGCTCTTCTCCCAAGGAACAAGCAACAGGACAAGAGAAAACAGCCTCAAGTTACCCCAGGGGAGGTTTAGGTTGGAGCTGAGGAACAATTTCTTCCCCTTGAGGGTTGTCCAGGGCTGTGCCAGGCTGCCCAGGGCAGTGGTGGAGTCCCCATCCCTGGAGGGGTTTCCAAGCCGTGGAGATGTGGTGCTGAGGGACATGGGTCAGTGGGGACCTGGCAGTGCTGGGGGAGTGGCTGGACTCAATGATCTGAAAGCTCTTTTCCAACCAAAACAGTTCTATGATTCTAAGAATAAAGAGCAAGTCGATTTCGCGTTTCCTTTTCCCTAAGTTACAATTTCAGGCCTGGTGAGGTAGTGAATCAAATTTCTATCACCCCTTATGCCTAACCTATTAATATTTAGTCCTGCACTGAGTTCATCTGACACATCCCAAGAGCTGTTTAATGTGGAATACAAGAACTGATGAAACAGGAAGCAAAAAAAGCCAGATAAAGGGGTGTATCTGTGACTGCTCCAGCTCTTTTTTTCATGTGGAAATGCAGCATTATCTGTTTCAGCCATACATTCATTTTTTGATTATTTTATACTTTCTCAGAAATATTTTATCTCTTTGTAATATCAAGGAGTAACAAAAGAGAATGAGAAAAGAGAGATTAGTAAAGAAAGCAAACAGAAGCAATCATCTCCAGACCTACCATTGGGACCTGGTTCCGGGATTGGACGGTTTTCCTATGGACAAAAAGACAAAAAAAAAAAAAAGTATTGAGCTGCTTGTGCATAACCATGGGAATAACTTGTGGAGAGTCAGCCCGGGTTAGCTCAGGTAAAGCCAGAAGCAGATTGGGGGTTTTGGTTCTGGCTGCTCAATAAGACGTTATTGAGCAATGAGGAGAGACATAAACGTGCAGCCCACACTTCCACCCGAAGCTCACCTCATTTTGCTTGCACCAGGGAGTGACATGGGCATTTGTTACAAGTGAGCAGCAGCCAGCATGCAAATCCACTCTCAAAATTCTTTTGCGGTCATTTCCCCTTCCCTGCCCAGACAAGAGCCACATTCTAAACTTTCCTGCTCTGGAACAGCCTCAAGACTTAGCTGAATCCTTCAACCCACTGGCTGACAAAAAAACTCATCTTCTTATGACCAGACTTCTTATAACTCATCTTCTTTGTAACCAGAAAGATTCTGAACCAGCTACTTCCATAAAGCATTAATATTGCAGTGTTTACACTGTTATTACAAATGAAAGGAAATATTTTTTACTACATAATAATAACTCAACATAAAAAACAAGTGTAAACATTACTGTAAATCATATTTCAAGTCACATTCAGCTTGTAAGTGGCGTGACACCTCTTTATGGGATTAGTAATAAAACCAGAATTATAAAACAGTCCCTTGGCCCCAAGTGACCCTTCCACACAAAATGTCTGCAGGTTTTTGCCTTTCTTGAGTTCCCTCAGCTGCCTCAAAGGACAAAGTAATAACTCTGTTGGGGTTTACAACACCAAAACCCACCCAGCACCCACCTCGAGGATCACATCTCTAATAAAAGTCCCATCACAGTAGTTGGTGCTAACACTGAACTCATCATAATACACTTGCTGCTCAAATTTTCCTTCATCTTAGACCCACAGCCCAAAACTGGGCACAAGACCTTTGAGCAGACCTCTGGTCCACACATTTCCTCTTCAAAAATTTGGTATATACACATTAGTGAGCCTATGGTTAGTTATTTTTCACAATTAGCAAGAAAATTGATCTGTGGAGTTGAGAGATGAGCAATCACTTCATAGCAGCCCTCCACCTATGAGCTTCGCCAGTTAGAACCTGATACATAACAAAGCACACAAGATTTTCTGCTGTCCTACTGCACAGAAAGTGTGGTGTCCCTTTACTGCTCCTTGGGGGGCACCATTCTGTGGCTTAGCTAATTAAATACATTTTCAATGCCAGCATATTCAACTCGTACTTTGTACTTCACCAATGTAAACATCATGAAAAGAGAAATTCTGGAAACACATTCTCGAAGTGCTGCTCTGTTAAAATACCTGCTGAATAATCAGGGCTGCGAGTGGGCAGGATGGCCCAAATTGTGTTGACTGGAGTGTAAATCAAAACACAACCCAACCGATTGAAATTTTCAATGTTCAGAACTGTATCTGCATTTTTTCTTTGTGGGGTGTTTCTTTTGTTCCACTAAGGGCAAACAGCCCAGAGCAAACAGAATGAACAGTCCATGGTGAAGATAAAGCAAGCCAGCTTATAGCTGAAAATGTATATGTGGCATTCTTCAGCCCAGAAAAAAACCCAAACACTTCTTCTTCAAAAACAGAAGTGACAAAAAACAGGCATCTTGGTGGAAAATGAAACCTCCAGCCTGACTTGTAGAAAATAGGGAGTGACCAAACTGGAAGACCCCAAAGTATTTCAGGACGCACGTCCTGCTTGCTGTCCATTGTTCATGGAGTTCAGAGACAGCAGTTGGTGTGAGGACACGAAAGAAATGCACCAAATGTTTTCTGTGAAAGAAGAGGATATGGTGCATGCATAAAATCCAACAAATTTTCAAGGGGCAGCAAATGGGAACCACCTAAGAAAGGGAAGAGCCAAGAAAAAAGAAGCCAACATATTTTCATGTAATGGACATCACCTACTGAAGTCATAGTGGCTCTCCCTATGGGAAACCCACACAAGAATCAAGAAGGGTGTGGGAATTACAGGGAAGATGATCTCACCTAACTTTAGGCAAGCAATGCAGAAATAACAAGTTCAGAGTTCACTGCTTAGACTTCTTATGCCACCAGTGGGGCAACGCTGCTCACATCACGACAAAGGAATTCTAGTGAGGCCCAAGAGAATCACATCCCAAGGGGCTGCCAGTAAGGCCAAGGAAGCACTGACGACCACCTCTGATGTCTCCAAGCAGTATGAATATCTCAAGGAAAACACACACATCTGGATGTCAGCCAGTTAGGAGACCAGCAGTATAGACAGGATGGAGATAGCATCCACGCTCATAAATCTCATACTCCCTTCTAAATCACAGGGTTTTGGAAACATGTTCTTGAACTAGAGGGACCATCTTAGTTCTCGCTCACTAGTAAGTCAGGCTGCACATGCTTCTAGTCTAACTGTAGTTATAACAAAGGTGGCTGGGAGAACACAGCAACTACCCACAGGAACACTACTTAGCCTTTGGCACCTGTTGCTTGAGCTATACAGGGATGGTAAAAAATCAACTGCTTCCCTGATAATCATCCCCCAAACGAGCTGCTGCAGGCATCCAAAGTCTGCATGTTTGTAAGAACTGTTTGTACAGAAAACCACCTGTCAATGTTTACCCATGCAAATCTTCCTTCCTCAGTTTGGCACCTGCCAAACTCAAACCTCCAGCAGCACCATGGTGATTCAGCACCCAGGAACAGTCAAGCATCCACAGTCCGAGAAGAAGATTCGGTCTGAAGCACCAACCGAAAATAAAGGTCCCCTCTCCAGGAGAGTCCCCAAGCATGAGCATGACCCTGCAGCTGCTCCCAGTAAACCCTCCCTCCTGCTTCTCACCCCGGCTCGAAGCATCAACACCTGACCCTCCAGTTCTGCTTTCTGGGAACCTCTCATTGACGGGGCTCTCTTCTGAGCAGCACCCATCCTCTCCTTCCCCCCCGCACCACCCAAAGAGGGGCTCGGGCGGCCCTTCCCCACGCGGCAGCCCCGAGCATGGGGGGCATTCGCTGACCTTCCTCGCTCTCAGCCCGGGGCCAGTTCCCCCGGCTCCCCCCGCCTCCGGGCCCGGGCTGATCTA